GTCACATCGCATCCTTCCACGTCACATCGCATCCTGGCACGTCACATCGCATCCTGCCACGGCACATCGCACCCTGCCACGTCACATCGCATCCTTCCACGTCACATCGCATCCTGGCACGTCACATCGCATCCTGCCACGGCACATCGCACCCTGCCACGTCACATCGCATCCTTCCACGTCACATCGCATCCTGGCACGTCACATCGCATCCTGCCACGTCACATGGCATCCTGCCACGTCACATCGCATCCTTCCACGTCACATCGCATCCTGGCACGTCACATCGCATCCTGCCACGGCACATCGCATCCTGCCACGTCACATCGCATCCTGGCACGTCACCTCACGTCACTTTACGTCGCGTCATGTCACATTGCGCCGCGTATGTGATATGAGCGTACGTACCCGTCGCCTCTGAAGAAGGAAACGAAGTGCGTCTCTGTCGTCCTGGGAACAAAGCGGACGCATGTATGCCTATTGTAGTCAGCGATGGCAGCATCTATCGCCTCGATGGCCGGGTAGACTGCGTGCATGAGAGCCAGAGATATAGTTTGATACATCAATCACGCATGCACGCACACACACACGCGCGCACACACACGCGCACACACACACACGCGCGCGCACGCACACACACACACACACACACACACACACACACAAACACACACATTCCGCCTCTGTCGCTCGCCACATTCATCACCTCCACACTCTCACATCTATAACGTTTCCCTCCTCTATTCATTGGCTTACCTTCTCATTCATTCCTTTTCCCCTCCTCCCCCATCCAACAGCTCCTCCACCCCCGTCCATCACCTTCCCCTCCTCCTCCATCCATAAGCTCCTCCACCCCCGTCCATCACCTTTCCCTCTTCATTCATCCAATAGTTTTCCCCTCCTCCATCATTAATCTTCATCTCCTCCACGGATTACCATACCTTCCCCACCCCTTCATCTTCCTACACCAATACTCACAGTCGCAGTAGTTGCAGGCCTTCCTGCAGTAGTAGGCCATGTAGTAAGTGTTGGCGGTACATTCTCCCCACGACTCCCATTCCTCACACATGTCGTTCTTATTGTCACACATCAGCCCTGCAATGACGTGAAATGACATCATGCGCGCGATGTAGTGGTGTGACGTCATGCGTGTGATGGATGTATGTATGTATGGATGTATATATGTATGTATGTATGCATGTATGTATGTATGTATGTATGTATGTATGTATGTATGTATGTATGTGCGATGCATGGTATGCATGGCATGTATGTATGCGGGATGGCATTGCATTGTTTTTAGGGCTGCCCGAGGGGGGGCGCGCATGAGGCGAATGGATGATGGATGATGGACATGGATGGATGGATGGAATGTATGGCCGGAGCCATTGGCATGGGGGGATGGATGGCACGTGGGATGGATGGGATGAAGATGGATGGATGGACCCCCCCCCATGGAAATGGATGGAATGGAATGATGGATGGATGGCATTGATGGATGGCATGGATGGATGGATGGTGGATGGATGGAGGGATGGATGGATGATGGATGGATGGATTGGATGGATGGATGGATGGATGGATGGATGGTGCATGGGATGGATGGCATGGTGGATGGATGAGATGGGATGGATGGATGGATGGATGGATGGATGGATGAGATGATGGATGGATGGATTGGATGGATGGCATGTATGTGAATGAATGCGTGGATGGCATGGATGAATGGGTGGATGGAGTGGGATGGTATGGATGGATGGCATGGATTGGGCATGGATTGGGATGGATGGATGGATTGGATGGATGGCATGGAATGGATGGATTGGGATGGATGTATGTATGGATGGTATGGATGGATGTGATGGACTGGGCGCAGCGATGGTTTTTTGTGTTCGGGATGGACGATGGGATGGGCATGCCGCCCGCCCCGAGTGGATGGATCGGGGGCCACCCTGCCCGATGCGTGCGATGATGGGGATTGGCGCCTTCAACTGCCGGGCCCCGATGATGGTGGATGAATGGATGGGATGGCATGGATGGATGGATGGATGGATGGTATGGTGGATGGATGGATGGGGGTGGCGATGGAATGGGGGCCCCGACTGGGCCATGGGATGGATGGTCACTCGGCAATGGAATGGAGGATGGTGGAATGGCATGGATGGATGGGATGGATGCGCGTGGCAATGGATCGTATGTCCGGACGGACGCGGGATTGATGTATGGGATGGAAAAATCTAGTCGATAGATAGATAGAGTAGATAGAGAGATAGCAAGATAGATAGATAGATAGATATATGATAAATAGATCGATAAGAATAGATAAGATAGAGTACATAGATAGATAGATTATTAGATAGATAAGATATATAGATAGATACGAATAGATAGATAGATAGATCGATGATGATAGATAGATAGATAGATAGAAAGA